TTTGAGATAACTAACATATATATATATATATATATATATAAAGATCAATAATGGCAATATGTTATGCATCAATAGCAGCAACAGGTTTTCCAGGTTCTACAGTCATTTGAACAAAATTGTAGAGACATCCAGCACACTCCATTTAGTAATTTCAGCTTTTGGACTTTTGGATTAAGGATGTTCAGCCAGAAAGGTCCATGCACATACCCCAAACCAAACAAACCAATTCCAAACTAGTAACAAACCCTCCAAAATCTGAAGCATTTCTAGTCCCAAACTTTTCAGATAAAGGATATTCAATCTGTATTTCTGTGCATGCCTGACATATCTTGGCAGGCACCTGCAAGCCCTCTCCTCGATGAGGGACTCAGAACTCGGTCAGGTCACGGCAGCATTAATCACATAGGTCGCTTGTTGGTTGATTCCAGGTTGCTCTCAAGAAGGGAAAGTACATCATGCCATCAAATCTTCCAAAGGCCCTCCTGTGCTGCCTCTCAATTCAGGTAAGGCACTACACTGACAGAGCATATCGGGGGAGCATGAGATTTCCCCTGATCCTTTGACTTTGGGTATGTGTCTTTTTTTACCCCCTTATCATCTGCAGTCAACATCTTTAAGAGGCAAATAATTTCCACAACTAAAAACAATGATTAATATTACCTCCAGTAGAAACAATAAACGGTAGCTATCTACTATTGATTCCTTTAATTACATTCTTCACATACTTTCTTCAGAGGAGTATGTTGGAATGCGTGTATTTTCAATGCCATCCCCTTACCATAGATGGAAGACCACAAACAACATTAAAGTGCATTCGCTCAGGCTCAGTTCCACCCACAGGCGCAGCAAGGGAATGTCTTTTCCCTCACCAGACCAGACATGTGAGTTTTACTTAGGCCCTCTTCCCTCACGCCAGCATTAAGAGTGGGTGATAAGTTCAGGGCTGTCAGCAGCTAATGCCAGGTCTGGCCTATCTTCACAGGTGGCTATGGCAACATGCTCCCCCACCCTCCCTGATCCACAGGGCCATCCTGCAGAAACAGAGAGTAGCTGGGAAGGTGAACAATGACTGTCAGCGTGAACTTTAGCATTCATTTAGGTTTTGGTGAGGAAAAGCAGAGTAATTACTGCAAAATCTTTAATAAGAGATGGCTAATTCATGTAACACAAGGCAGACTGATCTAGGAGCAGCAGGTGGGATAGTTAGAAACTTTCAAAGGAATCAAGGGCCACAGTGTGTGGCAAGACTGTCCTTATAATGGACTGGAGAAACATTTCAAACTAAGAACTGTCATATGAAACTACCAGGTATATGACATTTAGATATAATTAAATACAAAGTAGGCAATCAGATCATTCTCCCCTCAAAGCCAGATTTACCACTAGATTTTTACCTTAAAAATGACGATGTTTGGCAGCATAGAGGTTCTTGGAGACAAGATTGAGTAAATGCATTCAAAGAAACACTCAATTCTTTTTAATGGCTTCATGTAACAAGCAATATGTTTGTCTTGTAAATTTCTGACATGTTTGAAATCAAAAAAGCACAATCGCTGTCTGTCTCCAGATTTGGAGCAACACAGGTTGTTAGGCCCAACCACACCCACATTAAGCACAAAACAATAAGGCCAGTCAGATAGGTGCTAAAGTTTAACTGGTCTATTCATGTTTAACAGAAAACATGACCACAAATCTTGTCAATGAATTGAACTTGCATAGAAGGCCCTAACATGGAATCAGACAGTTGACTATAAAGGAAAGCATTAACTTTACTGAGTTGTTGTTAGTTTGCTCTTTGCTTTAAGAATTCAGTGGCACTGAGGATTTTCTGATTTTGCTCAGAGTGCTATTCAATTTAAGATTGCTTAGTAGTGTATAGTTTAGGTAGGTTCCCTCCTAAGGCTTTACACATAGAAACACAGAAAGCGATGGCAATCCCGAGACACAGCCTCTCTGATTATTGCTGTGTGCATGAAACCCAAAAGTACTCTGGTTTCAGCAACCTTCCACACCTACACTGTCACTCACACCATTTCAGCCTAGCTCTGTGCTGACACACAGCCACCTGTGCCGATCTCCTTAAAGCACTCCCCACTAGCAAGAGGGATGACCATGGCTTGTGTGGTTACTGGTAATGGAGGGGAAGTAGATGACAACTCACTTCATGATAAGTTACAGTGTCCATGTTCCAAAAGCAGTAATTTGAAATAGGAAAAACTAACCTATGTTCCTTTTCCCAAACTGCCCACATTTTTTTTTAATAATTTAACCTGCCATGTGGGTGCTGGAATTGAACCCAGGTCCTCTGGAAGAGCAGCCACTGCTCTTAACTGCTGAGCCATCTCTCCAACCCCAACTGCCCCCATTTTATACTTACTTTTATCTTCCACATGAAGTTATGAGTAAATCACAGAAACATCTTCAGCAAGGTATTCCTGCCTGATATTTTTGCGGCCTGTCATTTGTTATAGTATATAAAACTAATGTTTTCTGTTGCATCCTAATGTTACTCCAAGGTCTAGGGCTCAAGACATTGATTATGAAAGCCAAGCATAGAGTCTGTAATTTCAGCTATTAGGAGATTGAGGCAGGAGGGTTATGAGTTCAAAGGTAGCCTAGGCTACATACTGAGCATCTCAAAGGAAAAAGAAAAGTCTGAGATTCCTATCTGTCATCCCTTCAAACTCTTCAAACAAACCAACCTATTTTTTTCCTGGTAGATTTACAAAGTATGTGGCACAAGAATTCAAAATGTATGTAAATGACATGTGTGCTATGTGAGAGGCATGCAGAGGATTGGCTATTAGCATGTCCCGCCCACTCAAGATCTAGCTTCCACTTAGAACCCATCCAGTTCCGGCTTTAATGAGATCCCTACATTAGTGAGGTGAGGAAGAACTAGTGGTCTGCATCTAGGCTCATCACCACCTTCCCTGGCTCCAGGGTTAGCCCCATCCCAAATCCTTTTTCCTTTAGCACAAAGAACACCTTTCTTCATGAAGATCAATACTATAAATATCCATTTGCTTTTAACAGTGAACAGTTTGCAGTCTATACATCTTGACAACAGTGGAAGATCAAAGAAGTTTTCTTACAACCTGCAACCAGCCAGTCAATCAAAGAACAAGCCCAAGCTTTGACCCTGGGGAAAGGCAGAACCAGTGTGGAGTTCTGCACTCTATCAGCTGTCTCTCACTCATGAGAAAGCTTCACTGTCTGTAGCTAAAGCCTTACTATAAGGAATATGAGGTAGAACTCAGACGATGTTCCAGTGTTTCCTCCCGGTGCACAGTCAAAGGACCGGAGCAGACTTTGCTTGTGTGGACTGCCTAGCTGTGTGCTTCACCTCAGTCAGTGTGGCTGGAAATGAGAACCAACACTACCTGAACAAAGGAACTTTGGGTTGGTATTCCTGACAGTTAACTGGCACCAGCCTTGTTTTTTCACTCTAGAGAACCTCAGTGAGATGGGAAACCCGTGCTACCCCAGCCACCTTCAACTTTACTTTTAGAGACTTCCCAGAAGACTGAAAGTACACTGTTGATCCCTTAGTTCTGTTTCCAAATTGACCCTGGAAAGCTACAAGATGCAGCCTTGTGCCCACTCACTCTCTCTGACTGGGGATAATATCACAGCATCAAGAAACCAGTAGGACAGGGCTCACAACACAGTGAGCCAAAGCAGGTCTCTCATCCACTTGGCATCTTCTGACCAACTTGCTGAACTAAGCAGTTTTCCCGGAGTGCCATTTCTTCTGGGGAAGTAACCACCTTCTGGCTCTCTAAGAGCAATTGGCTTAAATAAAGTCTAAGTGACAAGAGGCACAATCAACAGCAGGCCACTCCTGTGCTAACAGTAAAGCACATGAAGCAGTGTTTACCTCATTGAATTACCTTGATGTTTAGTTTAGAAAATTATATTCAGAATTATAAAAATAGGTTTACCTAGATGTGATCACAGAGATTCAGCTAATTTGTTGATAAGTGAATGAAGGCACCATAGATTTCTATATGTACTGTGAACATCTAGCTCTTACGAAATTCAAAATGTGCTAGTCTAGACAAACAATGTGATAGCACTGAGAACTCTTAGGCCTTATTTTCCCACTTCAGTACAAAGGTAGCTCATGAACAACTTTTTTCAAAGTTTAGCTTTAATGACAAACATCTTTTACATCATCAGTCTTTCTTCAAAATAAAATGGCTGTGCATGAACAATTTCAAACAGGAGGTACCACGGTGCTTCTTCAATACAATGCATTCAATATACTAGGTCCCTGGGGATGGCCACTGATGTACACGCTGAAGCAGTAATGTAAGTCTGTAAGCCACTGCTCCTGAACACTACCACTCTTCAAAGTCTGCAAAGAAAAAGAAAAGGTAATTTAAATTGAGAACAGTACTACATGAACACATTTTTCATGGCCTATGTAGAAGTATCCTTCCCACCGGACAGTGCTGGTACAAGCCTTTAATCCCAACACCTGGGAGGCAGAAGGATCTCAGTGAGTTTGAGGCTAGCCCTGTGTACAGAGCAAGTTCCAGGACAGGCAGGATGTATGGGGGTGCATGCACATGCACGCAACGCACACACACACACACCCTCCTCCAGAGAAACCAGAGGAAGTCATCTTAAAATAGAAAGCTATCAACTACTGGGTGTTGCTACAGCTGATGAAAATTCCTCTTTATGTCCTTATAGGTTCAAATTATGAAATGGCTCCCACCAGCTCAGATGTTTGAATAATTGGTCCCCACCTAGTATTGCTGTTTTGGAAGCTAAGAACTTGTACGTACTCTGAGCCTACTTATGGTCCAAGCTCCCTACTTTCTGACCCACTAAGTTGTAAACCCCTCCTAGCAAACTCCCACTGCCAGAGATGCATCCCAGCCACAGTGCGTATTCCACAATAATAGACGATGCCCTCTTAAACTGTCAAATAAAGTCTTTTCTTTTAAATTAGATCTGTTATTTGGTCAGTGTGACAAGAGAAACAGTATGTGTCCTTAAGTGTAATGAGTTCTTACTGAATCTGTTCCCTCCTGGACATGCTGGAGACTAATATAAATTTTTATGGCCAACCATCCCTACCCTTATCCCTTCCCCTTGGCATTAGTTTTCATGTTTTTTTTTTTTTTTTCCTCACTAATGTCAACAGATTAGTCCTATCAACAGATTAGTCCTACAGAGCCAACTAACAATCTTTTTCTCTCTCTTTTATGGAAGTGGGCTGATTCTCTAATCCAAGTTACTGACTTTTCTTCCCTTCTACTATTCTGAATTCTCTCACTGCCATTCTCCACTGTTTGTACAAAGACTTAGAAAAGTCAAAGCAACTACCTACTAGCATGCTTATAAAAGCTCCATGACACTGAAGTACAACTACACTTCAATGAATAAACCCTAAGTCACCTATGCACGATATCCCTTTCACTCCCTAAGCCAAAATACTAAGGGCGTCCTTTAGAACAAAACATCCTCCCAAGAGCCAGACGCAGTCTTCCACTTTCTCCTTTTCCTTCTATCACTGTCCTTTTCTCTCTGGTACTGGCCAAAGCCTGGATGTGCTCTCCTCACATGCTATGCCTTCTCACTCATTCTGACACTTTATCATAGCTTATCCCCCTTCTGCCATGTGTGCCTCAAGGCTGAAGCTGCCAGCTTTCTCAGACCCTTAACTAAACGGCATGACTTTCTTTCTCTTCTTCTGCAGAGCTGCCAAGATTTACAGCTTGCCTACACAGCTGTTTTCCTCTCAAACTTTAATGAAATTGTCCCTGAGCTTTAGAAAACTTTTTTTCTTAATGATACTAAACATTTAGACAACACTTATTAAATATCAGGTACATTAAACAGGAATATTCTCATTTAACAGTCACCAAAACCTGCATTAATCGTACCTTAACAGAGAAAAACACACCTGACTATAGATAAATTGAGAAGAATTGCCATCATAATTACTCCCTAAAATAGTTACTCATCCCCATCCCCACACACACC